AATAAAAGCCAGGAGTGAGGACCTTGCAATTCAGGAGCACAGCTGCCTCTGGGGGAAGGAGGTGCCAGAGCTCTCTGGGTATCAGGGGATGCTGATTCCAGCTGTTTTTTCACCTGGATGGTGGCTTCATAGGTCTTCCTTCAGTAATTGGTTATGCTATACCTTTATATTTTATGCATTTTTTGGTGTGTAACCTACAACCTGGAATTACGATTTTAAAGAAAAAAAATGTGTGCATTGGAGACTAGCAGATGGAGTAGCAGTTACATCGCTGGACTCCCACATGGCCGACTCAGTTCGAGTCCTAGACCCAGTGGCTGAAAATCACGCTGGGCGTGTGTGCATGCATGCCCAAGACCCTGGAAGGAGGATGAAGAAGGGATTGTGGTGATGTGGCCATCCCTCCGATTCAAGTCCTGGACCTAGTGGCTTTTTTTTTTTCTTCCCCCCCCCCCCCCCCCCCCCCATGAGCACACATGCTCTAAGGCAAAAATCTTTTTCGCCTTTCTTACAGGAATACGCGTATGTGTACATATACGTGGATGGACATTTGTATAGCAACCTTTTCTGGCCCTGGTCTTGGCAAAGTGCTGCCTTGCTGCTTTAGCAGTTAGTGTAGAGGGGCCATGATGCCCTGAGCCAGTCCTTCTGGGGCCAGGTAGGTGGTTTCCAGCCTTCTGCTCTTACAAATGATGCAGGGATGCTGACCATGTGCAAATGTCATTTTACAGGTGTGCAAGCATGTCTGTGGGTAAATGCCTCGAAGTGGAACTGCTGAGCACAGCTCACCACTGCCAAGTGGCCTGGTGTGAGGGCTGCCCCCGTTCACAGCCCCTAGGCGGGACCAGGCCTGTTTCCCCACGGCCTCGGAGCACACAGTGCTGCCAACCCCTCTCTGCTCTCTGCCAGATGCCAGATAGCTGAAGTCTGGCCCCTCTCAGCCTAGCTTGCATTTGCGTTTTTTTTACTTTGTAGGATAAGCATCCTTTCACATTCACAAAAACCATCAGAATGTCCTCTTCGCTAAGTGTCTATTCAGGGCCTTTGCCTGTTTTTCTGCTGGGTCAGGGAGACCTTTGTAAACCTAATCTGTGTCCCTCTCCGGCTGAAAACCTACTCTGGCCCACACAGCGAAGGCCAACTCCTCACCAGCACCCCCAGGCCACTCCTGCCTCTCTGTCCTTATTTCCCCACACTCTCCTCCCCAATTACCTGCTCCAGCTACACGCAACAGTCTTCCCATATCCATGGATTCTGTCAACAGAAACCAGCCATGTCTGCCATGTGCTGCCTGTGTTGGGGCAGAAGGTCAGCCTGCTCCCTGGCACCACACAAACGAGGTGTGCAATCCCAGCAGCTGGAGGGATGGGCAGGTACCGGACCTGAAGAGAGGGCAGTGTGGTGGAGGCAGGCCACGGGAGAGCAAGGGGAGCCGAGCAGGGTTCTGAGGACACGCCTGTGTCTGGAAGACACAACTTCGGCTGCCCTGCCGAGGATGGGATCAAAGAGACTTGAGTGGGTGCGGGGAGGAGTAGGAAGGAGTGGCAAGGTGGCAGCGGGACAGCAGGAGCTTAAGAGAAGGGGACAGACATGAGTTATGTCTATCAAGAAAAAGCAACACTTGTCAATGAGTCCAATGCTCATCATTAAAGATGACGGAAATGTCAAGGATGACTTCCAAACTGGGCAAATCACAGCACCTTCTTGCCCACAAGGAAGCCCAAGAGGAGTTTCCCAAATGCCAGGTTCCGGGCCCTAGAATAGCTCAATCTAGAAAGACACAAAACAAAACAATAAGAAACTAAAGCAATCACTCTACCCAGGATCACGGCCTGCTGTATGGCTACAGTAATCAAGATGGCATGTAATCAATACATCGGTCAGAAGAACAGGACAAAGAACCCAGAAACAGACCCACACAAACATACCTAACTGTTTATGTTTCTTTTTAAGAATTATCTGGGGCCAGCACATGGCATAGAGGGGACAGAACGCGGACCTGCTCCTAGGACATAGAACCCCAGAGAGTAGAATAGAGATCCCGAGAGGAGAATGGAAGAGAAGGGATTGCTGGTGTGGTCATCCCCACTGGGGGTTGATTTCTCACTTCTCCTGTCTCCACTCCTACCCCATCAAAAGCACACATGCCCTAGGGCAAAAAGCCTCTCTCAAAAAAAAAAAAAAAAAAAAAAAAAAAAATGATTTATTGGGACCGGCAGGTGGCGCTGTGGTTGAGGAACTGGATTCCCACATGGCTGACCATGGTTTGAGTCCCGAACCTGGCGGCTTGCTTTCTCACGCTCCCTTTCTCTCTCTAGTCAAAACTGAAGAATAATGATAATAAATAAAAATAAAATAAAGACATCTTTACAAGAAGACTTATTTATTTTAAATTTTATTATTATTATTTAATTTGCTATAGGGCACATGCACTCATCAGAGACAGACAGAGAGAGAGGGAAAAAGTAAGAAAAAACTGCCAGGTCCAGGACTCGAACCACAAGTATGTTGTGTGGGCGTCCAGTGCCTCAACCACCACGCCACCTGCTGGTCTCCCTGTTTTTCTCTTTTTTTTTTTTTTTTTTTTGGAGAGGTTTTTGGTATAGGGCGCATGCACTTGCCAGAAAGACAGAGAAAGACAGAGAGACAGAAAGTGAGAAATCACCCCCCCCAGGGGAGATGGCCATGCTGCAATCCCTTCTCCTCCATTCTCCTCTCAGGATCTTGGGCACACACGCACACACGCCCGGCTTGAGTTTAAGCCGCCAGGTCTGGGACTCAAACTGTGGTTGACTACACGGGAGTCCAGTGACATAGCCATTACACCAACTGCTGGTCCCTGGCCTCCCTGTTTTTAACATGATTTGTTTTAGGACCAGCCTGTGGCTTACCACACAGTTCGAACACCAGACTCGGTGGCCTGAGAAACATGCCAGGCATATGTGCGTGCGTGCCCAAAATCCCAAAAGAAGGGAGAAAAAAAAGAGATTGTCGCATGGCCACAACCAACAGAGGTGCTTTCTCACCTTCCCTCTTTCTCTGAAGGGTGCACCCCCCTCTCTGGCAAAATTTTTTTTTTAATACCATTTTTGCCATAGGGTGTGAACAGTCTCTGGAGAAAGAGCCAGAGAGAAAGAGAGAGAGAGGAAAGTAAGAAATCACTTCCCAGGGGGATGGCCACACCACAATCCCTTCTCCTCCATTCTCCCGGGACTTGGGGCACTCATATTCACACTCCCAGGCTGACTTTCAAGCCACCAGGTCCAGCACTCGACCTACGGTTGGCCATGTGAGAGTCAAGTACCTCAACCACCACACCACCTGCTGGTCTTCCTCTGGCTAATTTTTTAAAATGAGGTAAGATACATATGAGCTATATTTTACCCTGGTAAGAAATACGTGACGTGTATTATTTAAACCATGTGTAAGTATACAATGCAGTGACATTAATTAAATACATTCACAATGTTGCATGATCATCGCCACTGTCCATATCCAAATCTTTTTATCTGTACCAAGGCCAGCAGGTGACATGGTAGTTAAGGTGCTGGACTCCTACATAGCTGACCATGGTTCAAGTCTCAGACCTGGCAGCTTGCTTTCTTACTTTCTCTCTCTCTCTTTTTCTGGTGAGCACACGTGCCCTATAGCAAATTACAATATTAACAAATAAAATTAAGCAAAAACAAAACAAAACAGAACAAAACAACTCTGCACCCATTAAACAACAGCCCCATACCATAACCTCTGTTATATTTTCTGTCTCTTTAATTTGCCTATTCTAAGTGCCTCCTACAATATTTCTCCTTCTGTGTCTGGCCTATTTCACCAAGCATAATGTTGTCAAGGTCCACCCACATTACAACATCTATCAAAACACCATTCTGGGGCGGGAACCAGCAGTTAGCATAATGGCTATGTTGCTGGACTCCCACGTAGTCAACTGCGGTTCACGTCCTGGGCCCGGTGGTTTAGAACTCACACTGCGTGCGTGTGCGTGCATGCCCAAGATCCTGAGAGGAGAATGGAGGAGAAGGGATTGCAGCGTGACCATCCCCCCTGGGGGGTGATTTCTCGCTTTCTGTCTCTATGTCTCTGTCTGTCTGGCGAGCGCACGTGCCCTATAGCAAAAAAAACCCCAAAAACCTCTCAAAGAAAAAAAAAAAAAAAAACACCATTCCTGGGAACCAGTGGATGGTATAATGGTTATTTTGCTGGACCCTCATGTAGTTGACTTGTGGTTCGAGTCTCAGACTCGGCTGCTTAAAAAACTTATGTGAGGCGTGTGTACATGCATGCCCCAAATCCTGAGAAGAATGGAGTAGAAGGGACTGAGGTAAAGGGGGCTGACGTGTGTCGTCATGGTGGTTAAGGGCGCTGGACTCTCACATGGCTGACCGCAGTTCTAGTGCTGGACCTGGCAGCTTGCTTTCTCACTTTCTCTCTCTTACTCTGTCCCTCTCTGGTCAAATTACAAATAAATAAATAACAAGTAAATAAAGTTAAAATTAAAAATAATTCTTTTAAAAAATTTTTATTTAGCTTTATTTACTTTGGCCAGAGAGGGACATTGCGAGAGAGAAAGTGAGAGAGAGAGAAGAAAGTGAGAAAGCAAGCCACCACGTCCGAGACTCAAACTGTGGTCGACCATGTGGAAGTCCAGGGCCTCTAACCACTCAGCCACCTGCTGGTCCCAAAATAAAATGATTCCTTAAAAAGAAAAGAAAAAGGGGATTGAGGCGTGCTCCACACACACACTCACACACACACACACACACACCACACACCCAGGGCTGATTTCTCACTTTCTGTCTCTCTGGTGATCACACGCACCTACAGCAAAATTAAAAAAAAAAAAAAAAATCTCTTAACCAAAACAAAAACTGGTCCTTTGACAGCCGAGTAATATCCCATTGTGTGTACGCCATGTTCGGCTTCCCCATTCCTCTCCTGATGGATTGTTTCCACCTCTGGCTACTGTCAATACTGCTACTACAAACCTGGGCACACGAACATCTGCTCGGTCCCGGCATTCCATTATTCTGGGAGCCATGTGGGAGACAAAGTGCTGGGTCACATGGGGAGCCTGTTTCAGCTTTGGAGAAACTGCAGACCCGTTTTCCGTACGGCTGTGCAATGTTACAGGCCCATCGGTGACGCTCGGGTTCTAGCTTCTCCAGAGCCTCCCAACACTCGCTCTTCTTTTTTTGCTCCTTCCCTTTTGTATTTATTTCTTCTGCAAGAGAAAGAACTCCCAAAAGAGTCCCAGCACCGTGATTCATTCCCGGCCAGCCCTGCAACATGGGCACATGTGTGCCCAGAATACTCAGAGAGGTCTCTGGACACAAACCCAGAACCCTCCATAAGGGTCAGTCTCACCGAGCAATGCAGTTTCCCTCTGCACCACTGATTGGTCCCTCTCTATTTTCAAGCATGCGTGAGGTGATTGTGGTAATTCTTGACAAAGAAGCACAAGCAATTCTATAAAGGAAAGACAGCATTTTCAACAAATGGTACTAGAACCATTGAGCATCCACATGCCAAAAACCAAACCAAACCAAACCAAAAAATAAACTTTGATCTAATCCTAACACTTAGCTCAGAATTTAACTCACAATGGAACATGGATCTAAATGTAAAATTAAATATAATTGTATTGTGTTGTACTGATAAAACTTTTGAAGAAAAAAGGAGAAAATCTTCAGAATCTAAGACAAGGCACAGGGTTCTAGATCTGCCACCAAAAGCATGATCCACAAAAGGAAAAATTAATGAAATGATTTCATCAAAATGAACATTTGCTCAATAGAAGTTCATAGTAGGAGAATAAATGGAAAACCTACAGGCTGGGAGAAAATGTTTGTAAATCACATATCTGACAAACAACCAGTTTATAGATTAGACAAAGAACTCTTACAACAGTAGAAAACAATCAAATACGAAAATGGGCAGAAGACATGAAGAGAGATTTCCCCAAAGAGGATAGAGAGACAGCAGGTAAGCACATGAAAGGATGTTCAACATCATTAGCCATTAGAAAAAGACAAGCTGAAGCCACAATGAGAAACATTATACACTTATTAGACGAGCTGAAACAAAAAAACAGTGACAATATCAATTGCTGGCAAGGATGCAGAGAAATCGGGTCACTCATGCATTGCTGGTGGGACTGCAAAATGGTAAATCCACTCTTGCAAACAGTTTGATAGCTTCTTTTTTAAAAAATTATTTTATTAACTTTATTTATTTTAATTTGACCAGAGAGGGACAGAAGGAGAGAAAGAGAGGGTGAAAGTGAGAAAGGAAGCTGTCAGGTCCAGGACTCGAACCATGGTTGGCCATGTGGGAGTCCAGTGCTCCTAACCACCACACCACCTGCTGGCCCCCACTTTGGTAGCTTCTTTAAAGCGTGCAATCACAGTGCTACCCAGCAATCATACTACTAGGTATTCAGCCCAGAGGAACAAAAAATTACATCACACATTTATGTGATTTTTTTTTTTTTGGAGAGGTTTTTGCTAATAGGGCGCGTGTGCTCAAAAGACAGAGACAGAAAGCGAGAAATCACCCCCTGGGGGGATGGCCACGCCACAATCCCTTCTATTCCATTCTCCTCTTGGGATCTTGGGCACACACGCACATGCGCCCAGCGTGAGTTTAAACCAAAGAGTCCTGAACATGGGAGTCCAGTGACGTAGCCATTATGACATCTGCTGGTCCCAATTTTATGTGAATTCTTATAGCAATTTTATTTCTAATAGCCAAAAATACTAGAAACAATCCAAGTGTCCTTCAATAACTCTTCAGTGGACAAAGGGTTAAATCGCAGTAGATACTGAGTATATTCGATACTGTGGAATACTATTCATTAATGAAAAGGAATGAACTCTTGATACACACAACTACTTGGGTGAATCTCCAGAAAATGATACTGAGTGAATAAAGTCAACCCAAAAAGGTTACATGCTGGATGATTCCATGTACAGAACACTGATTCCTGAAATGACAATGAAAACAATGGGGATCAGAGGTTAGGGACGAGCGGGAGAGGAGTGTGGCTATACGAGGCATCAGGAGGGATCCCGCTGATGGAATGCTGTGTCTTGATCACATCAGTGTCGATATTCTAGGTGTGATCTTGCCATATAGTTTCATTTTTTATTTTACTTATCTCTTCCATGAGAGGGGGACATGTAGAAAGAGACTGAGACAGACAGGCATCCCTAATGGTGTCTTCACGCCACAATACTACCCCCAGCAACCCAGGATCATGCGCACTCACACGAGGCCTGGACAGACAGGGAGATCGCAGGGCACAAAGCTTCCTATATGGCCTCAGCACTGGAGTGCTGCATCACTGCTGAGCCACCACAGCTGGCCTTGTTCTACAGTTCTGCAAGATGTTACCATTGGGGGAACTGGGTAAAGGGTGCATGGGATCTCTCTGTATTTTTTTTTTTTTTTTTTAATTTGTCAGAGGGTGCATGTGTTTGACAGAGAAAGAGAGAGAGAGAAAGCATGGCCATGCTACAACCCCCTTTTTCTCTATTTTTCAATCCCATCAGGACTTTAAGCATGGATGCACATGCACACAGTGTTTTTCAAGCCTTTGGGACTGGGACTTCAACTGCGGTTGGCTATCCGGATACACAGGCTTAACTACTGCACAACAGGGCCGGCCTGTGTTATCTCTTACAACTACACATGGGCTTACCATTATCTCAAAATTTTACTTAAAAATTATAATTTAATAAAAATGTCAGACCCTTTCCCATCTTATAGCTTTTGAGCATGCTGTCTGCTCTCCTTGAAACACCTTTTCACAAACGAAACCTGCTCCTCTTTCAGGCCATCCCCTCCTCCAGAAGCCTTCCTGGATTTCCTAGGCTATAGCTAGGGCCTTAAACAGTTCTCTGGCTTTCCCCCATCACAGCTGTCACAGGCCAGCCTGTGCTTTCCCCAAGGTCACTCTGGGCTGTTACTGCCTGGTGCTGAGTGTGTCTTTCCGACTGGATGGCAAGTGTCATGAGGGCAGGGCCTTGACTTGATAGGTCCCCATCATCCTGCCGGGTTAGGATGGCAGCTGACAGGGCTGGACTTGGAGAAGGAGGTACAGGGTGAACAGCTATATAGGGATCAGTGAAAGGCAGTGATGGCAGTAACACGGACAGCTGACACTCATTAAGAGGTTTCTATGGGCCAGCTCTTTTGAGTGCTTTACATAGATGAAATAACCGCTATATAGCCCCATTTTACAAATGGGAAAACTGAGGCCAACAGAGGTTGCCACATGCCCTAATCACTCAGCTAGTACCCAGCAGACAGATCCAGAGCTTTAGACAGTAATCTCCACCCCAGGGTCTCCCCATGGAAGGCTGCACGAGACTAACTAATAGGGCTGGACGTTTCAGAAAATGGGAATGCAGAGAAAGTAGGGGGAGGGAAGAGACCCTCCTGTTCTCAGCCCCCAAATCATTCCCTCCTGCTCAGAAGGCCCCTCTATGGTACAGACAGATGTGGGTGGCACCAGAGCACCCTTTAAGCCTTACAGATGCTCAGTGAAGGCCTCCTTAGGCAGTGCTCTTCATGGGCAGAAAACGCCCACTTCCACTTTTCAGCTGTGGCTTAAAACCTGGCTGGAGTGAGGGGCTGTGGGCCTGTAGTGAGAGGTGCTAAGGTGGCCCCAGGGCATGGCTGCTTTCATCTGGCTGGTGGGGGGAGGTCAGGAGGCGCACTTCTGACCTCTGACCCATGTTGGGAACCACTCCTACTGGTACAGGGTTTCATTTACCCAGAGAAATCTCAAGAGCAAAAATACCAAGAGAAAGCTGCAGTCAAGTGCTCTTGTACCACACATGCAGTTTTAAACCCACAGGACAGGGGCCAGCAGGTGGCAGGGTGGCCAAAGCACTGGACTCCCACATGGCTGAATGCGGTTCGAGTCCCAGACCTGGCAGCTTGCTTTCTCACTTTCCCTGTCTTTCTCTGATGAATGTGTGCAACTTATGGCACATTTTAAAAATAGTAATGAAAAATTAAATAATTCTTAAAAAAAAAAAAAGGAACACTACTGACCACTGTTCAGGGATGCCAACGAGGGGCTAGTATACCCTGGGTACCGGGGGAGGGTACCTGGGGGCTGCAATCAGATCTTTTAGCTAGGCGGTAGGCCCATTTTCAGCAGGCACCTCTCTATTGTCTTGGAGATTCTGAACTCTTTCACAATCTTTTGAAACAGTAACAATGAAAAGAAAAAAGAGGGCTGAACTTATTTGATAGACTTGGAACAAACAGCACATGAGGCAGGGGCTCTCGGGGGCTGGTGATGTCTCCTTGATCTGGGTGCTAGGTTCCATGGGCGTTTGCTTTAGAACTATTCACAACATGGCAGCATGGGGGTTTTATGCACTCTCCTGTATACACGTCAGATTTGACACTGCCACGCAGGGAAAACCAGGGGGAGCGATCTGACAACTGAGATTTCTGTGTATTTGCACACACCTGCAAACAGCCTCCTCCCACCCAACCTCCATTCCTCTGCTGTGTCTCTCTACCGTGAGCACGCGCATGCACACACGCGCTCTCCCCAAGCCTGTAACTGCTACCATAATCACAGCAGCAGTCCTCCTTGGCCCCTTGCAGCTCTTGGCCCACTTCCTGCAAGGAAAACAAAGGCCTGAACGCAGCCAGCCCCAGGCCCTCAGACTCAGGTCTCTCCACTCACCAGGCTCTCTCATGTTCTGTTCCAATCTCATTCCCCAGAACGTCTTTTAGCCAAAGGAACATGCCCAGCCAAGATGCCCCTGCTCCTAACCTGCCCTGGGGCACCACAACAAGTCAGGCAGAGCGGAAGGGGTTATTATTACTATTTACAACCAGGTAAAGTGTCCCCATGGCAGGGATAGCCCTGTTGGCTCATCTGTGCCCTATGCTGGAGACACATGACAGAGAGGCCAGCTATGAAGGGTAAGTGCAGGAGGCACCATGCTTGTGCAAAACAAGAGAGTGAGGAGGGTACTGTTAACACCCCACGTACGGAGGAAAAGAGTGAGGCCCGGAAAAGGGAGGTGCAGCCCAAGGTCCCAGCGCGTGTAGCAGAGCCAGCACTCCACGGCAGGTCACACTGCAGGTCGTCCACTCAGTGCCCACGCTCACTCCTTCACCC